GTGTGCGTGTGTGTGTGTGTGTGTGTGTGTGTGTGTGTGTGTGGTGTTTTCTCTCTTTTCTATCCTACCATCGTTTAGTTTTTGTTTTGGCTGCACATTAAATCTATTAATACAGTTCTCTCACTCACACAATCCCCCTGTCTTACTCTCTGTGTGTATGTTTGTGAGTGTGTTTGTGTGTGTGTTTGGGTGTGTTTGGGTGTATGTATGTGTGAGTGTTAGAATGTGCATGCGCGCGCGCGTGTGTGTGTGAATGTTATAGTTTTGTTTGCGTGATGTTTGTGCGTACGTGTATATACCACCTATGTGTCATCTTCTTTGAAATTCCGCTTTTACGTGCTGTTTGCCTGTCTTCCACTTGACCACCCCAGTCTGTCATCCCCATTATATATATTCTTCTCTTCACTCAACACTATTTACAAACTACAGTACCATTTTCTTTTTCGTTCTTTTTTTTTTGGTGGTCTTTCTTCTTCTCTCTCATCTCCTCTTTGCGTCGTTCCACTTTCTCCAAGATTAGTTAATTAGCAAAGATAAGCTTCCCAGATGCCTTCAGCTGTTCCATCCTCGATGTATCACATAACAGTCCTGAAAAAGAAAAATACTAAAAAGAAAAACCCCACCAAAACCCATAGTAAAACTACAGTAGAAAATTCCACAGTATTTCTTGATCTTCGCTGGTACAAAAATTTTCTCTCTCATTTACTGCTTCGGCCTGCGGAATTTTAAGTCTTGGCTGACTTGGGTAGGCTAGATACTTTCAAGCGCGCTCGAACTCACATAATGAGTCACCTGAGAAATGTTTTCGCACCCTGTCTTCCAAGATAAGAGATGCGTTAGCCCGGATAAAATCCTGGGGATGTTGTGGCGTTCGGATTTTTACCTCCGGTGCTACACAGAGTGAACGACTGAACGAGGAAGGCTGATGGATGAGATGGCAATTTCTTCGACGTGCCACACAGTGAAGAGAATGTATCTGTGCCCAGACTAAATTTTTCGAAATAAATTTTAGGCTTTTTTTTTCTTTCTGTCCGGTGGGAAAGGATATAGGGATCGTGACTGGACTATAGTTTCTTGTGTAGACGAGCACGGTATGGTTTAAGTTAAATGTGATTTTAAACCTCGAGTTTCCTCAAAATTTGTCGTTATGAGAAAGGTCGTTAAAATGTATGCTTTCTTTGGGAAGTAGCATCATCAAGTATTTCGGACAAACGTATCTTTTGGGGGGACTGGAGTTTCTTTAATTTTTATTTTGTTTGTTTTGTTTTATTTTATTTCATTTCATTTCATTTCTTTTATTTACGCATTTATTAATATTCATTTACTTTTAAAACGGTGTGGCGTGTCGTATTCTTCATTTTGTGCATCATTTTATTTATGCGTGCAATGAATTTATTGTATTTAAGTTAAATGTTTACTTAATTGATTATTTATTCAGTTTATCATTTTATTTTCGAGGGGAGGGGAGGGAATCCGAAAATTTCGAATTCGGTCAACAAAGTGGACTTTTGGGGGGTCCAAATAGTTTTTTCGTGTCAAGCATTTTTTGGTTCTATTTTACCTAATCCCCCATGTCCTGACAAGGGACCAAGTGTTTCGCAGTGGGAATGGACTAACAGTGTTGTGCGTCTTGCTAGGTGTTAGTCTTTGTCAACAACAGAACAGCTTAGGTGGAGTAAAAGGGTCGTGGGGAAAAGGGGGGTGGTGTAGAAGGAGGTGCTCGACGCAAAAAGACAATTTGAACCCCAAAAAGTATCTATGTTCGAGAAATGTCTAAAGTAAATGTGCACTGTTGTAATTTAGTTACTGTCACCATTTTTGTCTTTCCGCTCCTCCTCCTCCACCTCGTCATCGTCATCATCATCATCATGGAGGAGGCGGGCTTTGGCGAGATTTAAAAGTTGCTATATTGTATACTTTTCATGACTCTTGTACGCATAGTAATATATTTTATCTTATTTTTTCTTTCGCAGATATCTCCTTTTTCACTACCCTTTGGATTACTACGTTCTGCAATATTGAAACGCAGTGACAACGTTTGATAAATCTCCAAAAGAACTTGTGGCATATTATATATTATACTGAAGCGGATATTGTGTATGTGAGTGAGGAATAATCTAACAGAGAATAATTAATATGAATTTCAATAGCTTCAACGCTTGACTCTCTTTGACAGTGGTTTAGATGTGGTGACTTTATAAACTTTTTAGAATGTGATTTCCAACGTCAAGAAAGTCTGTAGTTTCTTTTAGGAAAACGTCACCCGTGAGTTGTGAGTGAAGAATGCACTGAAGTTTACTCCGTAAAAACGGTGATAAGTTTTCCTCCGATTCAGTGGATTTTATGGGTTGAGCAGAGTCACAGAGTGCCATTTCTCCCAACTATGTGGCCGGTTTTGCGGCGTCGTTGGCGGACGCTGCTGTGGTTGCTGTTGCTGGGCATCATTGTGCTCAATGTAGCAGTATTCGTCGGTGTGCCTGGTGTTGTGAAGGGAGGTGGTTCAAACCCAAAGCGGGCAGTCGGGGAGAGGGACTATTCTCACTTACAGGTTGGTGTAATGTTTTGTGTTTGTTTACCTTATGCCTTGCTCAGTGTGTGTACGTAATGGCTTGCAGTAATTGTGACTATAATTACATTGGACAAGATATTTTAACAATGACATTTAAATGTACATTTTCTTTGAATGAGCTTGTATGTCTGGAAAACGTCGCAAGACGGAAAAATACTTAAAGTATAGGGTCCTGGAAACGTTGATCATATTTGCACAGTTAAAGTGTAGTTACTATCACAATTCTTGCTTTCCCTTCTCCTCCTCCATCATCACCATCAAGATCCAAGCCACCATTGCATTCAGTTACCCTCCCCACAATCACCAAAACCACCACGACCACACTGACCCGCTATTTTGCACTTTTCTTACTTCAGATTTTTCAAAGCCGAAAATTCTTTCAATTATAAAGTGTGTGCCTTGCTGTTATATTTTGACAAGAGTGCAAAAGTAAATACCACCTGCAGAAATAACTAGAACTCGGCTGTTTTACTTGGCACAGAGTTCCTTCCCAAATTGAATTTCTGCATAAAAAAGCAACAACCGTTTTGAAAATACCGACATAATCCGGTTCTCAATTCATTATGGTTTTTTTTTCTTTTCAAAGCTTCTTCTTTCAACGGGCCCAGGGTACTGTGAGGTGTTTTAATTTAATCAAAATTCGTCGTATCTGGGCGCGCCTTGACATACGTTTCTGTCTGCCCATTTTTATATCTGGTCGCAAAAGTTTTCCACATTTCTGGCAACCCCCAAAGGCAGATTTGAAAACTACTCAGGACGCGTCTAACCCCCCCCC